TCGTGTATGCGTGTTTTAAATAAGTATATTCGTAGGCAGAGCTTTCCAGGCACTGACCCCCCCTTTTAGGGGAGTTTTTTTGAGTATCCAGCATGGCCCAGGTCATGCTTAGTATGAATGGATTACTTCTCAAGTTCTCGGTTGTTAATAACTAGACGAAGTCGCCTGGTACACGACAGTAGCCCGGACTACACAGGACGTGAAGTGTATCTGTCAGTTTGCCCCGTAGCCGCCGCTAACTCAAAGGGAAGATAGTGAGTTTAGACAGCCATGTTCCATAGTGTCGTAAGCCCTGTCCAATCAAAATGCTTGATATACGCCTTGAACCTTTTGTTGCTGACGTACTTAGTTATCCACGGTCTCCAAATTTGGAGAGTGTACGGTATTTGTGGCCGCGCATATGCTCGAAAGACCTCAGCTGAGCAGTGCTGTTCGTTCTATTGACTGATGATGGATCATACTTCTTGTTAGAACAATCGCAGCTCCTCGTCTAGAATATCCTGTAATGCATTTTGATGGCTTTCTGCAGCAATTATAGACCGCCAGGGTGCTCAGTCTTCAAGCACGGGAGGTAGGTTCCCTTTACAAACATTTGAAAAATTATTATTCTGTGGTATTTTTTGACTCGCATGTTCTTAGCTTTGCAGTGTCTTCGAGTATTAATGTGGCGTCACAAGAAGCTACTCCTAGCGACCCTACCTAAACATTTACCCGGATGCTCGAATGGGTTTAGAGCAGGTTTCTGTGGCCAGGTCTTCTTCTATCATCCGCTGTTCTCCACGTTTTTATTAGCACTTATTGCGAGGTTTCATGGTTAGAAACGTTTAAATAGTTGTTTATCAGTCAGATGGAGCCTCCAATTTGCATATGTGGAATGTCCAGTAAAATTTACCGGTTCAGTCTTTGATGATATAAATACAGCTTTCATCAAGACTGGTAACTATTGAGCTGTAAGCATCAAGTTATTTGAAGTTCAATGAGGTTTTTTGCGCGCCAATGGCGCAAGCGCATGTTTACTCATGTCGTCATGACGGGAACCATTACAACTTTAAAAAACCGTTCCAGTTCCAGCGTGTCTTGTTACAATCGCTAATCTTTCATACAGACAAAAAATTTTCCCTGCCCCTCTGACGCAGCTCTAAATTAAGGCGACGCTGGTCGAAACCTCATGAATATTAGCATATACCGGCTGTAATAATGCATCGACACTACAGCATGAGCTATTAGCAGATATGTGGAGAAGGCGGGCAGACAAGACTAGACAAACTCGCCTTGCTTTATATGTTGGCGCATACCGGTATCTTGCATAGGCCTATGAATGAACAACCGTGACTCCTCACTCCTGATTATTGCATTACCGGCATGACTTCATGGTCTGCCGTCGTAACATTAATCCTTCCCGCAGTTCCTAATCACGCATACAGACGACGCATGCTCTCCAAGCTTTAGCCCCGACAGGTGAAAGAAAAACGGATAAAAGTTTATGATTTCTACGCTTTTATTAATTTTTCAACATTCTTTTGCAATAATGATGAGCTCTCCTCTTCTTCCATTCCCGAGGTTTATGGTGCGGTATGCAACGATTGTGCTTTTCCAACATGCAGTTGATGCAGTGTATCATTCCACCATGTGCACATTTGTGGCACTTCTCCGGCCGATATTTGTGACAGTGTCCGCCGCCGCCGTTCCTCAGTGGTGCTCGCGGTCGCCGCACTCGCCAAAGCGACCATCGCCAGATGAAGAAGGATTGTCAATCTACGGGAAAGAGACACAATGGTTAAGTCGATGCCATATTATGATAAGGTCACTGAATGCGACTGCCGGCCAATTTAATGTGCCTTTCAAGCCAACAACCGCAATAACTTTTGACGCGTGATAGAATGCTGCTAGCAACAAATGCCCGAGTTCTCCTGATGCCCGTCAAAATTGCCGTTCTTTTTCTATTAACGCGATCAAGCCCACCGTGCGTGTTATGTACAATGAACCGAATTAACAACATATCATTGTTGCACGTTCTTGACTCTATTCTTTTTCTCTGAAAAACAATGAGGTTGGCTTTAAAAAATGTCTCGTATGAACCATATGCATCCTGTCGGGATTCAAAATATCTGAATAAAACTGTGAATATCAGCAACTTTCGCAGAAACAGACCGGTCTTCAGCATGCTTTTTCCCTGAAGGATAAATGAACAAACGTGTTGCCCAGTACTCTTTTGCAATCGAATAATGCACCAAGAGTTCCATTTCTGCGAGGACTCTTTCTGCTTATTTGTGTCAGCTCTGACACTCTTAATTAATCAATTATCAACGAGGTAAGTCTGCAGGGGACTTCAAAGGGCTCAGTATGTCGGCAGCAGATCAACACATTGATTGACCGAATTCTTGGTGGGGTTTAATCGATTCTTGCTTTTCAGGAGACTGCAGCACATGGCAACTTTGGGTGGGAGGATAAACCGACAACTAGTGCCGCAGGTATGAGGTCGGCCTCCCCTTAAAATGGCCTTTTTGTTTAGCAGAGCAAGTCACGTCATAAGTGTTATTTACGATTGCGTCCTGTGGGAGCAAAAAGACTTGTCCATGGGGTAGTCAGTTCGCACAAATGGATCGCGGATGTATGGGGTTTTACTCACATTTTGCTGAACTAATTGTTACGGAGCGGTACGCATATAAGTTAGCTAACTTGACGTTCGACAAACACCCGCTCGAAGTACTATCATTAGGCCAAACATTGTGTTTTCCTTCAAAAAGACAGATAAATGGCAGAAGTTCAGGTTAAAATCTCTTGAGTTAGACATATGACCTAGTACCTACAAAGTCGGAGGACGCAGAGTATTTTAAATCTACGCTCGTGAATTGTTGCAACCAATATCGTAAGACCAAATCTAAGAAAAAAGCATCTGGAGAAACTCGAAGGCCAAGGTTTCCTTGATGAACTAGAGTAAGAAGCGCTTATGCACACAGGTACAGTCGGCCCAGAACTCTCTAAAATTCACAAACCGGACGTTCCAATACGGCCGATAATTAATATATGCAATTCACCATATCATGCAACTACAAAATAACTGGTAGAAAAGCTGTAACCGATTCGGCACCAAATAGCACCGCAGAGTCTACGCGATGCTTGAATTCGTCGAGTGCGTAAGAAGCACAAATATCTACAGGAAAACAATGTTGTCCTTGAATGTCGTGTCTTTGTTCACTAACACTCCCCTCACAGTAATCGTAGAGTTTTAGTGTAACGACATTGCAAAACAGGATGCTGAAATCGGTATGCCGGTCGGAAACCTAAAGGAACCGCCCTTCCGCTGCAAATTAAACGTGCAATGCAGGTTTCATAGCCAATTTAATCGCCCAATCGATGGCGTAGTGATGGGATCACCCCTTGGATTTCTATTAGCTGATGTCATCGTGGGAAAAATGGAGAGCAACCAACGCTCCCCTATTATCAACAACCTTTCTTCCTATGCTCCATATGTGTACGATATTTTCGTGAAAGCAGATGGAAGATTTAAGTTGGATATTCTCCTATATAAAGTGAATCATGTCCACCCAGAGCTAACCTTCACTTTATAAA